GATGAGAACTTTTGTGGCATTGGCTACAGTTCGCTTGACTCCGGCTACTCTGGGTCTGAAGCGCGCACTTCAGAGTAAAGTTGTTTATTTTCTGTATGCCCCTTACTTTGCTCTCGATAATACGTAAAGAATTTAAGTTGTTTATTAATATTTAAAATTTATGGATAAAAGTTAAACATCATATTACGGGTTTACATGTTTTGGGCATGTGTTGCGAATGCCTCCAGAAAGGAAGGCTTGGCAGCTGCTTTTGCCAAACCGACCGGCAGAAGACTCAGGGGATGGCCAAGGTTACTCTGTCTGTCGCGTCTGCCTCAGTGACCCGAAAGTAGAAGCGACCATTGGAGATGAAAGTGATGATAAAGATTACGGGTTTGTCACATTTCCAGGACTTTAATCAGAGGACGGAGGACGCCGTCGTCAAAATCAGAAAGTGATAGCAACGGCGGACCGGGGACACGGCTCTGCTCACTGATGGTAGATGGTCAGCGTTGATTGTCGATTGTTATTCCCGTGGACTGACCAAGTCGTTACAACGCCTGCCACATCAGTTGGATGACTGTGTCAGGGCAGGGAAGGTCACGCTTCGTCGAATAACGCTCGTAACCTCGAACAATTGGGGTATGTTGTGGTCGCATCGGTTCGTCGCCGAGTACCTACCAGTCCAGATGATCAATGTGATTATGGGTTTGGTTGTAAATTGCTAGTTTTCGTTTCTATGGAGAAGAATAACTGTCCTCTGTTACTTCTCTGCATTCGCACGGCGTAGTCGAACCTTGTCCTTGCTCTTAATAGCATAATTGACTGTTTGATCAGACCATGGCTTTACGGTGTTTTAACATTTGTGGTCCTTGAGTGCAAAATTACGCTACCTTGTTTCACTGAACACCAGTAGGTGTGCTCTTATCCTCAACATAATCAAAGTACTGATGGAGTTAAAGCTGGTAGCTACTTTTATCTTGAATGAAACTAATAATTTGTTTTATTACCGATGTACGTATTTATGTAAATTGTTTAGAGAGCCCTTAAATCACAGTCAGCCGCACCATTCGGATTCTTTTAAATCGTCTTGTCTCCGGTAAGCTGTTTGCTCGTTTTAAAGTTTTTATTCTACTTTTCTGTTATGATTACCGATTTTAACTTGTTCTCTATGAATGTTGTGAGTCTTTTTTTTCTAAGATGTTCCCTTTAACCGCGGCCCGCTGTTTGAATGAGCTGTTTCTACTATTTTCGAGCTCTTCCTCTACTTTCATATATCATTCTTAACGACATACTTTCTTTCATTGTTCTCCTTTTTTAGCTAGCAGTATCAGCGCTTAGAGTACGTTTCAAACTTTGTGAGATAAAACCTGATACATGGCAGCAAGGAACAAGGGACAAGAGTCTATTGGCTTAAGTTTTCTCAAGAGCCAAAAGGAGCTTGAGTCCCTGCATATGGATATAAAAATTGGGTGCGAAAAGAATTATGCAGTCGAAAGATACGACAGTCAGCAAGTTTAATAATAAATGTTAACAAAGAGTGACTCATCAACAGTTTGAACTGGGAGACATATTTGATTGCATCATTTCAACTGCTTTGTCCATGTCGGTAGACCTCAGACGACAGCGTGTTCCGATTGTTTATGAACCGATTCTACATCGAACAGGCCTATGGTGGTTCATCGTAGCTACTGTTATTGAGCTTGATGAGCACGATTTTTTTTGTGTAACGGATGTTCAGGCTTACCATGGATTTTTTCACCAAGCTTTATGGCACACCGTATGATTTGCGTGGATCTCCGTCGTATCGTCGAGCGGTTTTGAACCTAATCTACTGTTAAGGGTGTATGTTTTCTGGCTATTAAATCTGTCTCTGGAGAAGTTTAGCATTTACAAACCTCCCTTTTTTGTTCATTCTCTGTCTGAGTCGATTCTTGTACAGTTGAACAAATTTGTTGTTTATTTTGGGCATATCGCACGTACTAGTACGTTTCGAGCAGTAAATACTGTGGTAATGTAAATAATGGTCCTTGCAAAATTGTCATAGGAATGTCTTCTAGATATTAGACCTGTGCAGCCGATTCTCTGGGGTTTTTAGAACGGTTTTGCCGAGGTCTGCGTATTGTTTTTCTGAACTTGTCTATCTACTAAACCTCGCCTATAGCAGAATCAAGGAAGAAGGCGAAAAGATCTTCGGGATTGTGAAGCATGCGTCAAAGCATGGATCGCACACCCGATGGTCATGCTGTTCAAGCGTAGTCGAAGAAAGACACTGGCTGCACAGGCGTTTCAGTATGCATTAAGCGTACAGTCTTCCAACTACGTATATGATCTCTGCGCGGACTGGATGAGCTTTGTCGATCCTCTCACCAAGGAACTTGAGCAAGGAGCAAAAGTTCGCCTTCCGGCTTCAGTTCTGCGAACGATCACAAGACTTTCGAAGCCAATAAACCTGCCTCTTTACTTTGAGAAGGTCCCATCGTAAGACACGGGGAACATTTGTTAATCTGCTTAACATCTGCTTAATCATACGATTGACCATATTTTTGTTGTATATTAATAAACCGCATTTATGATGTTTTTCAGTATGATAATAACGTGTATTTCCTTATACTTATGAACCAATGAAATGCTTTGTGCCGCTTCATGAAATCCTGCCAAATTAAACTCCTGACTTCCATGGTGAGTAGTCGATCTGTAGGCGTTCAGAAAGTGACATGACCAATGCTCTCTTCTGTTCATTGCATGAAAACATGAATGTACAATTTTTGCAGTTTTTTCGCGGAATATTTCAAATCTGCTGACTATGTCTACGGCACATAGGGTGTTTTTTTTCTATTTCGTTATGAC